TCATTCCACCAAAGCTTGTTACTAATTTTATTTTGTTTGATTCCTAAGACCTCCTGTGCTGTTTGATGAATACTTGATATTATGTTCTCATATATGCATTTGGTATTTGTTAGTGTTTCGTCAAGTTTGGTGTCCATTCGAGTCTTATATAGTGTACGAGTGCTCTCATGAATTAAACTGGACAGATTGTATTGAGGAAGATCAATTCTTTCTAAAAGTTGTTCGTCTTGGCTTGATGAGACACTGTCCTTTAATCTATATGGGAAAACAATTTTTGCCCTGACCATGTGGTGATCTGATCCGCATACTGCTCCTCTCATAGCTCTAATATCTCTAATGAGTATTTGTGAATTTTTTTTAACTATCATGTAATCTATTATAGACTTAATATTCCTTGTTGGTTGAAACCATGTAGATTTGTGTATGTTTTTGTGACAGTAATATCCGTTAGTTATTTTGAGTCTATTACTTTCACAGAGATTGATAAGTCTTTCTCCGTTATCATTTACGACGTCTTCTCCATAAGGTCCAATTACATTGTTGTGGCGCTTGTTTCCTGTTCTTATAGATTATTTTACCGTAAAGAAAAAGAGAAATCATACGATTTATTCCTGGAGAAATCGAATTTTCACCACTGTGGTTTCTAAAACTTGCAAAGCAAACAGTGTGATAAATTACTCGGTAAGGGAATCTAAGATTGCATTCCACATGCCGTTCATCATGGTCAAAATTCGTCTCGAATTCTTTTTCTGTTACTCCAAACGGAGTAAAGAAATAAAATATAAAGAGGGTACTAGATTTTTGTTTCAAAAATCTTGTTTCAAAAATTTTATTTTGATTCAGAGTAGTGCCCATACCGCTCTGACGAGACCTAAAGAGATCGAAATACGTATAATGCGCTTGTATTGAGTATTGATATTAGTTTTTCATGTCTTACTTTATCGAAAGTTTTTTCATAGTCAATGAAGCACAAGTGTAGATCAACATTTACATCCCGACATCGCTGAATCAATATGTTGATGGCAAATAGTCCTTCTCTAGTACTCATTCCATTTCGGAACCCGAACTGCGTCTCGCTAATATCCTCCTCTAGCCTTTCGTATATTCTCTTATGTATTATTTTTAGCAGAACTTTTAATGTATGACTCATGAGGCTCAGTGTTTGATAATCAGAGCACTCTTTTGCTACTTGTTTTTTAGGAATGTTTATAAATGCTGACTTCGGCCAGTCTTGTGGTATTATTTCCGTATCTTACACCGTGTTGAATAAATTTGCCAATACTTCCAAGTTATCCTCTTCCACTAGTTTTAACAGTTCTACTGGTATTTCATCTAATACAGCTGCCTTATTGTCTTTAGAGTTTTTGATAGCATATTTGATTTTATCTATCGTGATCTTCTCTCTAAAGGATTTAATTCTTTATTTTCTGCATTTCACCTCTTTTATCTTGCAAATGTTCTCTAACGTACTCCTATCATCGCCTTAACTTCTCTGGTAAATCTATTAGTAGTACTCCTTTTTTGTCTTTTATGTGTATTTGTTATCTATTTCGACCCATTCCAGTCACTTCTCTTATAAGTGGCTTGCCGCTGCTCTGTATTGGAACAAAAATCTAGTACCGTCTTCATATTTTATTTTACTGTACTTCTTAAAAATATCTTCACTGTAAAATCGGAATCTCCAAGTAACCATTCATTGTTATTATCTATATTTAAAGATTTTTCTCCTAGCTAGCGTAGTTACTTTACCAGACACACAGTGTGACTTGTCCTCCTACTTCTTCTTCATCTTTTGGCATCATAACCCTGGATAAGTCTCTGCCTGTCTGGCTGTGTCCTTTCATTTAGATCTCTTTTGTGCCCTTTTCCTCCTTGTTTTATATTCATGGTTTTCAGTTGATCTTCCACGTCATTCAACCACCTCGTCCTGGGCCTTTCTTACTTCTGCCTTCCTACCGGATTCTACTGTAACATCTTTTTTGTCGTTTTCATGTCTTTTTGTTGCTGAACATGTCCCAGCCATGACAGTTTTTGGCTTTTCACAAATCTTACAATGTCATACCCTTCATTCAGTTCATTAACCTCGTCGTTTCTTCTGATTCTCCATGTGCCGTTTTCCTCTTGCACCGGGCCATATTCTTTTCTTAGTATCTTTTTTCCCGAATGTCCTGAGTTGGGCTTCCTCTTTTTCGTCATTACTCAGGTTTCACAACATAGGTTACTACGGGTCTTATCAAAGTTCTGTAGATAGTCATTTTGGTTCTTTTGGCTAATAATTGCTACTTACGAAATTCTTCTGATTGATTTATGTGCCTAGTTCATTTGAATTGCATCCAAACCATTCACGGAGATTGTGTAGCCACGAGATTTTACGTCTTCCTAAGCTTCTTCTGCCTTTGATTTTACCTTGCATTATATTTCTTAGTAGTTCGTATTTTTCACCTTTTATGATGTACCCCAAGTATTTTAATTTCCTGATTTTTATGGAATTTAAAACTTCGCATTGTTTTCCTAGTTGTTTGAGAACTTGTTCGTTTGTTTTGCGATCCATCCATGATATTTTCTTTAAGTCGGTTATGCTACACTCTGTCAAATGCCTTCTCAAAATCAATAATCATTGTTTTGCGATCCATCCATGATATTTTCTTTTAGTCGGTTATGCTGCACTCTGTCAAATGCCTTCTCAAAATCAATAAAACAGGTATATACTTCCTGATTTATATGTAAGCATCTCTGAGAAAGAACACTTACTGCAAACAGTGCATCTTGTGTTCCCAGTCCTTTCCTAAATCCCATTTGAGTATTACTTATGCCTTCATTTAATTTCTTATGTATTCTATTGTGAATGACTTTTAAAAACAATTTCAAGACATAACTCATTAAGAGTATAGTGCAATGTTCATTGCACTCCTTTACATTGGCTTTTTTGGAAAGCAGTATAAATGTTGATTGTAGCCGTTCTTTGGGTATTATGCCTGTTCTATATATGGTATTAAATAGATCCAAAAGAAGATCAATAGATTCAGTATTCACAATTTTGAGTAATTCGATAGGAACTTTATCAGGCCCGGGGTATTTACCACCTTTAGCTTGTTTCCTTGCATATTCAATTTCTTCTCGTATAATGTCAGGCCCAGTATCATCAGTGCTCCATAATGAGTAAATTTGTTTACTCTACTTGTCATTTGCCATTCATGACTTTACTAGGGGTACTCTATGAGTCTGTAATGCAGAGGTTTATGGTTGCCTTCCGCATCTTTACGTCGTTGACCTATTTTTCGATTCATCTGCCTGTAGGTCCAGTTTTCCCACCCCCAAAGAAAAGAGTGCCCTTCCACTTATTAACTCATCCACCGCAGCCTTTGGTCATAAGTGGGGAATTGCTCATACCGGCAATCATTTGGTTTAAAGTCTATATACATATTATATAGGTCTATGTCGTATTTATAAGCTTTCTCTTGTATTGTTTTACGTATAAATATGTTGTCTGTAGTGGTTCTTTTTGGTCTGAACCAATGGATTGTTCTCCAGAGTTCGGGTCCTCCATATTTCAACAATTCTACCAAAACTCTATCCTTTCCTGGCACTTTAATGTTTTTCAGTTTCTTTATTATTTGAACTACTTCTGCATAACTCAGATTGTTATTGTGCTGCTCAACCGTAAAATATATTGTCTCGTTTTGATCATTCTCATTGCCTGCATTTAGGTTTTCTTTCTTTCCATCTCATTATAATTTTATTTAATAACAGTGTGCTTTCTTTTATTCGTTTATAGAATTTTCTGCTCTTGTGTCTGTTGTTATGTTCAAGGATTTCTTGTACTTGTTTGTTCAAAGCCTGTCTTTTTTTTCTTTTGTATATTCCAGTCGCTTGCATTCTCTTTTCGTTATAAATTTCTCTGCTATTTCTTGTGTTTCTTTATTTAAAGTTGGTTAAGACCAGCATGCCTTTTTTCCTTGACTGCAGTTCTGCATTTATCATCATACCATTCCACATTTCTTTGATTTTGGCTTTTCCAACAGTTTCACCGCTTATTGTTATATTAACATCGTGTTTTTGATTTTTATCAGATACTTCCTGAAGTTCTCCATAAAATCTTTCAACCTCGTCTTCATCAGCCTCTTTCGTCGGTGCATATCCATTAACCATTGTCACGTTATGCAGTTTACCTTTGAGTCTTATGGTGGAAATTCTGTGTGATATTGGTGTTAATCGATAGTGGCTTTTCGTAGTTTTTAGTTACTGTAAACCTTACTACTCTATCACCTTGTCTCATTTCATTTCCGAAGTAGTATAGTGAGAACTTTATTTTTAGTGAGAATTTCTTCCTGGTTCTTTCATCTGATTTCCTGCAGTGTCAATATTTCAAACCCGTATTTCTTCTGCTATACTTATCATAGCTCCTCCCTTTAAGAGGGTTTTCACATTCCAGGTTCCAAATTTTAAATCCATAATCATGTCTATTTTTCTTGGCTGAGTTCGTCATTGTGAGATACATCCGTTTAATTCATTAGTCATTGTATTCGCTACAATTGAGTTTTACAGGAAAGGGTTGTTAGCTATTCGCTCAACCCCTATTTATCGGAGGACCAAGGCTCCCTTCTTCGTCAGCTCTGACCCCACCTTCCACTGGGTTGGTTACTCAAGCTCCAGTGGGGCTGCTCAGGTTACCAGTGTGTACCAACTTGGAGGTGAAGATAGGAATTGAGTAGGAGAGGCTGAGTAATACAGAATACGGCATCATGTATTGCGCTTCACTAACCCTTTACATTCAAAACTTGTCATCCTAGCATTTTATATAGCTAGATGTTCTATTTAATGAGTACCATAAATCTGATATAAACTTAAATGCCATGACTCTTTATATCTATTTGTAAAAAAGGGCCTACTCTTAATTTAATACAGTTCTTTTTGATGCAATAACTTTTTTATTATTGTTTTACCAGTATTTTGATTAAAACCATGCCATTATTAATATTCAAAAATATGTTTGTTACAGATCAGCCATTACTATTTTCCCACAAAGAACAGACGGCAAGCATGACTTCCGTGTTTGGAATCCACAGCTCATCGCCTATGCTGGATACCGCCAAGCTGATGGTTCTGTCATAGGTGATCCCATTAACGTCGAGTTCACTGACATTTGCTTGCAGTTGGGCTGGAAGAGCAAAGGAAGTCGCTGGGATATACTGCCACTTGTGTTGTCCGCGAATGGACACGATCCAGATTTTTTCGATATTCCGAAAGAATATGTAATTGAAGTTCCTTTAGTACATCCCGAGTAAGTATTTATACAGAAATAATATTATATAGAGATTCAGTTTTTAATTTAACATCCTGTATCTTTATAATTATTATGTATTTACTGTTAAATGTCCATGATTAAATGAATGGTTGTAACCAAATTATCCCTAACTCTTCAGATTAGATGTTAAAACAGATTCAGTATAGACAGAGATAGGTATGGTTTAGTCAGGAGTCGTCAAAGTTTAGTTTTAAAGCCAGTTTTAGTTTTTTTTAATTGTTAGCTAAAGGTTTTCTGCATTAAGTCATCACCGGAGCTGTGTTAAAATAAAATATACAATGTAAGATAGGGGTAAAAAGAATAAAACATAAATTAACGTCAGTATAAAAGTTTACTTGATGATAATGCAAAGAATAAATATAACACAATCAAAAATTATGTAAAGATTTAACAAAAGCTGGTTTATTTTCTTAAAATATTTGCAATGTTAAAATTAAAGTTAAAAACCAAAGGATTGGCTAGAAGAAAAATGTATTACTTTAGTATCTTTCAACCCTAGAACAACAATGTGAAAGTAAGGTTACGATACTAGCAACGTGGCGTCATATATGACTCCAGAAAAACTGGCCGTAAAGCATAACAAAAGTACATTATTTTTAAATAAAGTGTTTTTATTTTAGATTTTTTTTTTTGAACCTATTCTCTATCCTTCCATTGTTGGTAATAGGTCTCCCCCAGTTCTCTCCATCTTTCCCTATCTTGAGCTGTTCTCTGCCATGTGGGACCTCCTTTTTTCCTGATGTCATCTTTCCACCTCATCTGTGGTCTGCCTCTTGATCTCTTTGCATTGTATGGACGCCACTTTCCGATTTCATTGTTCCATCGTCCGTCTTGGAGGCGTTCATTGTGTCCAGCCCATTTCCATTTCAGGTTTGCTGCTTGTTCTATCGCATCTACTGTCTTTGTTCTGGTTCTGATCCACTGGTTACGTTTTCTATCTCTAAGTGATATACCCAACATTTGTCTCTCCATCGCTCTTTGTGCCTTCCTTATCCTATCCAAATTGGCCTGTGTAAATGTCCATGTCTGTGCTCCGTAGGTGAGCACCAGTATTATGCAGGAGTTATATACCTTGCTTCGTAAGTATAGAGGGATTGTTTGATTTTTTAGAACGTAAGAAAGTTTGCCGAACGCTGCCCATCCCATTCTTACTCGTCTCGATATTTCGGCTGTTTGATTTTCTCTGTTAGCTCTGATTGCTTGTCCTAGATAGATATACTCATTTACCTGTTCTATTTTTTCTGTTTTTATTTTTATTGCCTCTTGGTCTTCCGTGTTTGTCATTACTTTTGTTTTGTTGAAGTTAATTTTTAGGCCTTCTTGCAGTGATTTTTCATGAAGTTCATTTAGCATCAATTCCAGTTCTTGTCGTTCCGAGGAGATTAGGAGTATATCATTCGCATATCCAAGGTAATTTACGTATTTTCCGTTAATACATATTCCTCTGTTTTCCCAATCTGTTGATTTTATTATGTCTTCGAGGGTCAAGGTAAACAGTTTAGGTGAAATTATATCGCCTTGTCGGACTCCTCGTTTAACTTTTATATTATCCGTTATTAATTTGTCGTCCAGAATTACGGTCATGGTTGCGTTTTGGTAAATATCCTGTATCAATTGTCGGTATCTTGAATCTATCCTACTATTGACTAGAGCTTCTTCAACCGCCCAGTGTTCAATGCTGTCGAAAGCCTTTTCATAATCTACGAATGCTAAGTAGAGTGGGAGGTTGTATTCATTGGTTTTCTCAATTAAGATTTTAAGCGCATATAGATGGTCGATTGTGCTGTATCCTTTCCTGAATCCGGCCTGTTCCACTGGTTGGTAGTTATCAAGTTTATAGGTAAGTCGTTTGTTTATTATTCTTGTGAAGGTTTTATATAGTTGTGACAAAAGGGAAATAGGACGGTAGTTGTTTAGGTCTGTTCGGTCTCCTTTCTTATGTATTAAGATTGTGTTGGCATTTCTCCATTGTTTAGGTCTTTTACCTTCAAACAGACATTTGTTGAACAGTATTTTTAGCATGTTTTTTATCGTGTCTCCTCCTTCTTTTTGCAGTTCCGCCAGTATTTTGACCTCACCGGCCGCTTTATTTCTTTTCATGCCGTTTATGAATTTTTCGATTTCATCTTCAGTTATTTCTGGTAATACCTCTGAGCCAACATTTTGTATTTTCCTCGAGAGATTCTGTTTAGATGATAATGGTGGGTCATTTTTAGAACTGTATAGGTCTGTGTAATATATTTCTGTGATTTTTACTATTTCTCCTCTATTTTAGGTTACAAACATAATTATATATTCACAAATTTTATACGAAAATGTTTTTGCATAAATAACAAATGAGAAACTTAAAATAAAACTGTGGTACTGAATAAAAGTAGAAAGAAATATAGACGGTAGTTTTTTAACAAAATGCAATAACTAAACAAATTTTTTTATATGTCACTGCCTTAGAAAAGAAATGGTCTATATCCAAAAATTGGTTGTTTGCTTTCACAAAAACGAAAACTAAAAACTTTCCAAGAAAAACTAACGAAAAATGCAAATCAGGTTATAGTAGATTTGCAAAAAACAAACTTGAGGACAAGAGATCAAATCATGATAAGTGTGTCCTCGAATTAAATAGCATTATTTATGGATTAAAGGACCAAATTCAGAAAGTTGAGGCCAAAACAGAGGGTGAGAAAAAAAATCCACGGATTATATATCCAGCATAAGCAATAGCCTCCTAGCTTCTCGAAGATTGCGTACCAAGATATTAATTGTAATTGAACACCAATTAATAAAAACTTTTTTTATGATTATTCTCTATTAATTTCAGATATGAATGGTTCAAAGACTTCGATTTAAGATGGTACGTCGTTCCTGCGGTATCGAATATGATGTTTGACTGTGGAGGTATTCAGTTTACAGCTGCACCTTTTAATGGATGGTACATGTGTACTGAAATTGGATCTAGAGATATCTGTGATCCTCAGCGATTAAACATGACGGAGGTACGTAAATTCTGCTTTATGTTTTCTTAGACTTTAGTATGCCTTTTCAAAAGTCACTGTGTAATTTATTTTTAAATTAATAAATTACCTAACATACGTGACACCACTGGTAACGATTTTAGGTAAAACGAGCAGTTCGAATTTATATAAACTATTTGCTGATAGCACGATGATGTGCGTATACTACTTGTTACCTAAAATCTAGTTGAGATATAGATTTCGTCTTTCCATTCCATACATTTACCATAGAAACATCAAACAACTGTATGAAGATTGTCCACCACTACTTGTTATGTCTCTACCCATTTAACGATAATTATGCCATCATCCTTGTTTAGTATTCAACTATAATTGCCTCTCATAGTTTGTTTTAAATGATTTTTCTTTTTGGACATAATGGGCAAGATTTGGAAATGCGGTTTTCCCGAATTGTTCCTGTTTACTCGTATTACAAGTACTCGGAAGTACTCGTGTACTTCCAGTTCTGACATATGGAGCAGAAACATTGACACTTACCAGAAAAGTAATTAATAAGATACAAGTGGCACAGAGAGCGATGGAGAGGTCAATGTTGGGCGTATCACTCAGGGACAGAGTTTCGAGTCAGATAGTAAGGAGAAAAACTGGTGTGACGGGCGCAGTTGAAAGAATTACAACCCTGAAATGGAACTGGGCAGGACATGTTGCTAGGGTCAGAGATGGAAGATGGACAAAGAAAATTTTAGAGTGGAGGCCTAGACACGATGCTTATCGTAGTCGAGGACGTCCTCCAACAAGGTGGTCGGACGATTTAAAGCGCATCCAGTCTAACTGGATTCAAGTTGATCAAGATCGGATGCAATGGAATTATTTACGGGAGGCCTATGTTCAGCAGTGGACGCAAAATGGCTAATGATGATGATGATGACGACTCGTATTTCAGTTCTTAAACACAATATTCAAACCCGTAAATAGATTGTCAAAATAAAATTTGATTGTTAAAGTTTTGTATGCTTCAGAGAATTCGTGTACCATATTCTCCATTGGAGCTATGTTTTTTCCAAATTATGTTTCAAGTGTGGTGTTCCTTAAGATTTATACCTTTGGTATAAATCAAAATTTACTAGATACCCTGATGGAGTATTTAGGCACCACATCTTGTAGCCGAACCTTTATGGTTTACCCCGAATAATTTATTTACAGGAATGTCATTCTAATTATTGTATCATAGATTCGTCAAAATCGAAGTTTTATTCTGTTTATCTAATTTTTTTTTAAACTTATTTATCAACGAAACAAAATTTCCACATTTTATTAGACGTGTATGGTTTGTTTTTATGTGCACAGTGCAGGTATCTTAGAATCTGACGAAATCTATCTCGGCGTATAGCTTGATTTACCATTTCATTCCGCATGTTATCTTGAATGTACAAGTAAAATTCTCGACCAGGTTATTTGACATATCCTAATAAAATGAGAATCGCAAAGCAACATTTTATATCATCCAGCGTGATGGTAGGATTTGGGTCACAGGAACATTGCATATTTATTTGATTCATCAACAATGAACTGAATTATCTTATCATCCAAAAATTTTTCAAAAACTTCAACAGGTAATAAGCTTTTAAATCGTGCATCATTTTGTTTTAGAAATTGTCTTGGATAAGTAACTAAATTTTCATTTATCCAAGTTACTTAAGTTCTGCCTGGTCATTCTGGGATTTCGTACCTTTCATCCTTTTCAAACTGCTTTTGTTCCGTATGAAATCTTACTTCAACATGGGCTGTTAGCTATTGCCTGTTAAGATTGTCATCAATTCCTCCATTATTCTCTTTACCTAAATATTTATCTATGAGAATATTTGATTCTTTTGGCTCTATAAAAATATCTTAAATATATCATGTCCCAGGACTCTTCTAACATAAAACCTTACCTGGTACAAATAAAGAGTGAACTAACATTAGTACCCATAACTGGCAAGTGTTGTCATATATATGGTAACGCTTTACAGAATATAGTAAATTTTAGTATCAAAATCATATATCGTAGATTAAAAGTGATCTATTAGTAATAATATATTACCAATATTTTGACAAGTATGCTTCAAATAAAATATTTTCTAACACCTACTCTAGACGACAGTCTACTGGTTGAGAATCCACTTTATGCCACAAACTTCAGCACACTAATTCAACTAATAGTAATGTTGTTTTAAATAATCTAGTTAAACCACGGGTTACACTAATATTCGACAGTAAAATAATGCCACCGTGTTTAAATTGTTGAGTTAAATTGATTGATCCCTGATTAATTGTAGTGGTGAATAATTTGATCGATATGGTCAAGAAATAACTTGTTAAACGAAATCTCTTCACACGTTCTTTATTGTGTTCTTATGGTAACGAATAGAAACATACTGCCGGCTTTGCCTAAGGCTTACAGGGTTGCCGTCTGAAAAAATTAAAACTTATGGATGAGAATTTACATTTACATAGAATAAGATACTTTTAAACAAATTTAAACAACCCATTATACTGAATTTCCAACAAGTCTTAACAATATAAACGTAAATAAAGATGGGCGCAACTGTTACCATATGGTAACGCTAGTTGTTCATGGGTTTTAATCATATCTACTATATCAGATCTGTCTTTGCGTATAAAAGTTAGATAGTGATTTGTGAAAAACTGTACATGATAGGAAAAAAATCCAGAGGCGAACGTTAGAATATTTATTAATTAAATGCGAAACTACAATTATTATTTTAATATACCTGTTGAATCATACCAATTTTGTTTGGATTTAAGATGATTTTGACAAATAAATGAATTAAATACTAAAATTCTAATTTGGCATTTAATTAATAAAAAATCTAACGTCAGCCTTTGGTTATTTGTCAAAAAAGTTGACGTTTGTCAATTCTCTAGTTGTTTTTTAGTTTCCAAAAGCATTTAAAGCTTAATATTTACTTTTTTATTTCTGTTTAGTTTAGTCAATTCAAGTTTAGTTTAGTTGTTTTTAGTTTTAGTTGGAAACATACTGCCGGCTTTGCCTAAGGCTTACAGGGTTGCCGTCTGGAAAAATTAAAACTTATGAATGAGAATTTACATTTACATAGAATAAGATAGTTTTAAACAAATTTAAACAACCCATTATACTGAATTTCCAACAAATATTAACAATATGAACGTAAATAAAGATGGGCGCAACTGTTACCATATGGTAACGCTAGTTGTTCATGGGTTTTAATCATAGCTACTATATCAGATCTGTCTTTGCGTACAAAAGTTAGATGGTGATTTGTGAAAAACTGTACATGATAGGAAAAAAATCCAGAGGCGAACGTTAGAATATTTATTAATTAAATGCGAAACTACAATTATTATTTTAATATACCTATTCAATCATACTAATGTTTGGATTTAAGATTATTTTGACGAATAAATGAAATAAATACTAAAATTCTAGTTTGGCATTTAATTAATAAAAATTCTAACGTGTGCATTTGGTTATGTGTCAAAAAAGTTGACGTTTGTCAATTCTCTAGTTGTTTTTTAGTTTGCAAAAGCATTTAAAGCTTAATATTTACTTTTTTATTTCTGTTTAGTTTAGTCAATTCAAGTTTAGTTTAGTTGTTTTTAGTTAGTTGTTCTTAATGAATATGAATATTTAGTTTAATTATTATTTAACGAGACGTTTAAATTTGTACAAAGACAGAATATGTTCTGGAACCGACAAAGTAGCAGCTGTGTTAATAATTGGTGATTGTGGACATAATTTCCATGCAGCGGAACGTCTTTTTAATGGAAGATACCCCGATCGCCCTATATCGAGAGCATATTTGAGGAAACTTATTCGGAGGTTTAAGCAAACAGGCGGTGTTCAAAATGTTAAACAATCTGGTCGACCAACAATTAGTGACGACAAAAAAATTTAGATAATTTCATAAACGATAGTAAACCCTACTTCTTCTTAAGAACAAATTGCATCTATCTAAGGATTTAGTCAAAAGACAGTACACCGAGTGTTGGCTCAAAACAAATTCCATCCATACAAATTAAAAATTATGCATCAACTTTTAGATAATGACCCCAATCGAAGACTACAATTTTGTGAAAATAACCCAATAAAACCCTGCCGTAAAACAAGGTTACATTGAACCCGAGGGTTACATTGTTGAACAGTTTTTGCAATGAAGATTATATTTTTCTACAAGTTGGCCTAAACTTTTTTTTTGGAGCCGATATATTTTTTTGAGGGTTGCAAATATGTTTTTCTTGGACTTCCTGATAAAATTTCTGGCAGGTTCTCAAAATTAACAAAAATTAAATAAAAAATGGTTTCTGAAATAAAAGGTAGTAAAAAAAATCTCTCAAACTTTGGTCTGCAGCCGGCGATATGCAAAAGATATCTTCTCATGACTAATTTTACACGATACTAGTACCTATTTGAATCTTATTCTACATAATACCGTAAATGAATAGGGTTTTAAATATTTTTAATTAATTTATATAAAAAATATGTCAATTATTTTGGGAACGTGGGGTAACATTGAACGGCAGGATTGAACGTGCTTGGGCGGCGTCAATCGAGTTCCATCTAAATATTATTGTCTGGCGTTACGCTACCTCGTTTTGAATCATTTGAATGAAATTCACTCAGAGCTCAGTATAACATTGGTTGGCTTGGCGGTAGGAATATTGTGTGGTTAGGAAATTCAGTTGTGGTGCAATAGGTAGTGTAGGGCGATAATCTCAGTCCAAAATGCGTGATTACGTTAGAAAGTTAGGTAGTAGATCATACAAAAATTACACCTCTGATACTTTGGATCAAGCAATCCGCGAAATTAAAACAAAACAGTTATCACTTTCCAAGGCGTCGAAGAAATACAAAATCCCAAAAGGCACATTAAGTCACAAACTGAACAACAAAAAAATGAAGGACGTCGGAAGGCCCACAGTTTTAAACAACGACGAAGAAAAGGCACTGGTCAAGATGCTTTTGAAAACCGCTGAATGGG